AACATTTCAAAGATCTCAGCAATCCCAATTTGGGATCTTTTCCTGGCTGAGATGGTGGTTGCCTCTTCTGCTGGATGTTGCCAGTAGCAGAAGGTATGACAGGTGTTGGGTTGGGCTCATCCACTGGTGGTCTGGATGAGGAGGGCATGGCTTCAGCTTGTTCCTCCATCAGTGGAGGAATTACCATCCCTTCTTCTTCTGCCAAAGCTCTGGCAAGAGCTTCGTCCCCAGATGCATCGGGACAGATGACAGGAAATGACAGAGGGCCCCCCAGATTGATTTGCCTGGGGCCTGTTGTCTTTGCTTTCTTCTTAGGGGGTTCTATGAGAATCCTCTTTCCTTTGTCATTTTTCTTCTGTGGCTGAGCCTTTTGCTCAGCCACTGATGTCTCTGCAGCAGATGCTGCTTTTTTTCTGTTCTTCCCTCTCCTTGTTGCTGCCTAGGAGAGGGCTGTAGGTTGATTTGTCTTGGTGGAGAGTGAACAGGTGGTGGGGACGGAATGTCAGAAAATGTAGAGTCTGAGCTGCTTGGGGACATCTCCTTGGCAGCTGGTTTGGTTGCTGACATTCTGCCAGCCTTCAGCCTTTTTTCCAAAGGCTCATTGTCTTCACTCTCCTCCTCCTTGTCAGAGAGGGTGATAGGTTTTGCAGAGGATACTCCCTCTGGCCTGTTGCTACTAAGGACCCTGTTTAGCCTTTGACTCGAACATTCCCCCTTTCTTGGGGGAACTTTGGCAGGAGATTTCTTCTTGCTCTGTTTTCCATCAGTAGCAACAGGGGCATCCTCCTTTACCTTGGTGGGAGGAGGGATAGTTCTCCTTGCTGGAACGTGGGCAGAAGGGGAAGATTTTGAAGGAGTTGTCTTGGTGGCCTTCTTCTGTGAGACCACAGGGGTTTCCTCTTCATCATCACTGGTGGGGGAGTGTCTGAGAATGGCAGGAATAGGTTGGGTGGTGTCAATGTAGGTGCTTTTAAGACCGTTCCAGGTTTTAGCATCAAGGATAGATGCCACCCGTTTGATGTCATCAGGGTGTTCCTCTACACCAGCTTTCAGACAGAGCATGGTGATGAGGCAGGGGAGGCAGACTGTAGTCTTCCTTGATAAACCCTTAGTTCATCAGGTTTTTCAGCATGAATTAGTATCAATTTGTGTGATTAAATGATAGAAAAAGAGGTTAATGTCCTAGAATGTCCTCAACTACAAGTTCAAGAAGCTTTATTGAAAAATTGCATTATTCTTGTAGGAAAAGCAAGCTTAAAAGGAAGCCGGGAGAAGGACGAAGATTATGAAGAAGAGAAAAATTCTAAGTGTTGAGCGCTAAAACGTTTATCCAGAACGTTTTAGCGCCCTGCTGCAGAAAGAAACCAAAACTTGCTGGTGCTGAGCGCTAAAACATCCACACAGAACGTTTTAGCGCGCTGCTGCAATCCGAGGACAAAAAGTTGCTGGTCTTGGGCGCTAAAACTTCCTGATTAAGCGTTTTAGCGCCCTGCTGTTGGAAAAAGACTGTGGTCTCCAACGCTAAAACGTCCAAACCAAGTGTTTTAGCGCTGGAGTCAGTTTGAAGCAGTTGGGCATCCGTCAAGCATGGATGCTAAAACGCTCACTCCTGAACGTTTTAGCGCCCATGTTAGTTTTTCTGTTTGAATTTGTAAAACTATATAAGGCAAGGGCCTTCACTTTTTCAAAAAAAGTTGGATTCTCTCTCTCCCTTACATCAGATTCTCTGATCTGACTTCTCTCTAAATTTCTTTAGGACTTAGTTCTTGTAGTAGTTAGTTTCTTATGTAATTGTACTTGGAGATTGAAGATTAACTGCATGGCAATGAAGTTTGATCTTTCTTCTCTTGTGTATTCTTTAGTTATGTCTGAGTAGAGTCATTGTGGTCTGAATTCAATGGAACTTAATGATAATCTTATGTATGTTTGATTAATATGATGAAATATTTTTCATGTGTTGATATGAGATTTTCTTATTTAATTTTTTCTGCTAAGGGAGTAGTGTAGAACATGAATGTTTAGACTACTCCTATATCTGGCAATCTAATCATTAGGATTCTAGTACTCAAGGGATTGATGCTAGAGTTCTGATGTAATCTTAAGACCTCAGTGTTTAATGTATGTATTAAGAAAGGAATCACCAAGGGATTGGGGTTTCTGATTAATGTATCTATCAGGGTAGTAAGGGATTACATCTTGATAATAAGTAAAAGCTTGAATAACATCACATGAAAAAGAATTCATCATATGGTCAGTTTTTACATGAGTTTATTGTTGAGGGAAGTTGTTTTCTGACTACTTGTTTTAGTAAATCTTAATTCATATTTTAGCATTATATTCTGTTACTTCAAATCAATTTTCTGGTGACAAAACACTCATGATTTTTACAAACTCTTGTTTGATTCAAATTAGTTTTCTATGTTTAATTGGTGTTTGAATACAAATCTCTGTGGGAACGATCTTTACTCATCATTTTATTACTTGTACGACTAGTACACTTGCTAGATCCGCAACAAGTTTTTGGCGCCGTTGTCGGGGATTTGTTTTTCAACATTGATTGATACCATAGAAATCTGAGATTGAATCCTTTTATTTTCAGCATTTTATTTTGTGTTAAATTTCTGGTCAATTTTGATTCTGGTGTATGCGAGGTACAATTGATCCAAACTTCTTGTTGTATGATCCAGAATTAGAAAAGACTTTGAGGAAGAAAAGAAGGGCAGCAAGACAAAGAAGACAGTTTCAAGAAAGGGGTGAATCCAGTGCTGTCAACCAAGAAGAAATAATGGCAGAGAACCACAAACCACACCAGAACAGAGGACACTGGGAGATTACATGACTCCTGCAGTGATTCCTCTGATTGGTAGTGTTGTGCGCCCTACAATAGAGCCAAATAACTTCGAATTGAAGCCTGCATTGGTACAGTTGGTGCAGAAGGAGTGATAACAAATATTTTGTTACACTTATTTGTTACTCTTGATTAGTATTTTTAGGATTTATTTGAATAAAATAATGATTGTTAGAGTTAATTTAGGTTTTTAGTTTTTGATTGGGTTTAATTTTTTTCGTCAGAATTTGTCAACTTTACGTTACTTCTGTATTTTGGCCATATCTCGGTCCATAGTTGTCGAATTTACTCCGTTCTTATTGGGTTTTTCATATAACACAGAGAGCTACAATTCTTATGAAGAGCTCAAAGCCCAATTCGGAATGGAAGATGGTCGATTTCGGACGCCAAGTTGGACGTGTTTTGCTGAAGTTTTGTTTGACTATTGGGCTTGTAATTTAAATTAAAACCCAATTACTTAAGTGGCCCAAAGCCAAGTTTTATTGTTTCATTTTATTTTATTCGGTTTTTATTTTATGTTTGGGCTGAAGCGATGAAACCCTAGCCATACTGCGTGACGGCTATTTAAAGGGGACTCTAGGAAACCCTTAGGAGTCAGTTTTTACAACAGAGAAGTTCTCTCTGAGTTTTTATTCAATTGCGTTCTTCTTCTTCTTCTTATTTTTTGAATTATGTTTACCTTAGCCATGCGAGGCTAAGAACCTTTTAATCAACCTAAGGGTAATGGATTCCATGGACTAGTCTTGAGGATCTGCGTTTATTTCAAATCAGTTTTGTTTCCCCTCCTAACTCAGATTGATATCGTGCGATCGTGGATATTCAATCTGAGGTTCGCGATTGCGATTATGGAAAGAGATTAATCATCAGATTTGATGATTAGGTTGATTGACCCTATGACCTTAAATCAAGCGGGTTGATACTCTACGATTGTATGAGTAGAAGCATCGTCTTTGATCAAATGCTAAGCGATCGCTTAGAGAGGGTTGTCAATTGGAAATAAGGATTCTGATTCGATTGACAAATCAATCACGATTCTGATATCCTCTTATCCGAGGAAAGACGTCCATAGAACCCAAACCTTAGGTTGGTTATTTTTAATTACGAATTTTACATACAATTTTACATTCTGCCTTTTTAAATTATCAAACTGAAATCAAAACAAACCCCCCTTTTATTTTCTGTCATCATAAGCGATTTTTACCCAAACAATTTCCTTGAGAGACGACTTAGGGTTTGCACTTTACTACAAAAATTTTCTGAACCCTAAAGAATTAATTTTTAATTTGGCGAGTTCGACAGCTCGTGTCAAATTTGGCGCCGTTGCCGGGGAAATTGCATCGGTCTAAATCGTTTTCTGATTCTTGATCATCTTCTTTTTCTTTAATTTTCGTTTTTGAAAAAAAAATCAAAAATAAAAAATAAAAAAATTTGGGGAAATCGGTAAAACTTTAGTTTGAGCGATTGGTTCCAGGAGTTCTATTCCCCTAAGGAATTCGACCTTCTGAGCATAAATCACACCCTAAATGAGTGTGAGGTGACCCTTATTTTTGCAAAATTCTGTCGTTTACTAACTGTTCTTGCTGTTTCTTTGTCATTTCAGGACGTGTCGGGTATTTCTGAACTTGTTCAACTTGCTTGGATCGCTCTGAAAATTGGTGAGCTGAAGGAGACGATCATCCCTGTCAAAACTCGTAGTCCCTATTCTCGCCGAATTCGTTCGTTTACTATTTTATTTTATTTTTTGAAAAAATTTTATTTGATTTTTGAGTTCGTAGGGTCAATTAGAGTTTAGGAGAGTTGGTCCCATAGCATTCTGAGGTCATTTAGTATTTTTAGTAGATTTATTTTGCTTCTGTTTGCTATTTTCAAAAAAAAAAAAAAAAAAAAAATTGTCTTATCGTACGTTTTGTGATTTTACTGCTGTATGCTTTGCCTATGATGCATGACTAGGAGTAATACCAGTGTTGATGATTTATATGCATATGACCCTGAGATAGAGAGATCATTGTATGCTGCTAGTAGAGCTCGTAGGTTGACTTACAGTAGAGCTGTTCCTGAGCATACCTTAGAGTCTGTTAAGTCTATCGAGTCTGTTTGTTCGAGTCCTTTACATAGTTTTTATTCGTTTGGTCATTTATTTGATTCTGAAATCATGGGTGATAGAACACTTAAGCAATTGGCTGCTCCTAATGTTGATAATGAGCAGCCCTTGTGTATTCGTTATACTAATCCTGTTGTACCTTTTGAGCTTAAGTCTGGACTAATACACTTGCTGCCCAAGTTTCATGGTCTTGCAGGTGAGGATCCCCACAAACATCTGAAGGAATTTCATATAGTCTGCAGCACTATGAAGCCAACAGGGGTGGATGAGGAACAAATCAAGCTGCGTGCTTTCCCTTTCTCTTTGGACAGTGGAGCTAAGGACTGGTTGTACTACCTGCCACCTTCCTCCATTGTAAGCTGGAATGACATGGCCAGATTGTTTCTGGAGAAATTCTTCCCTTCATCCAGGGCCACTTCAATCAGAAAGGAGATCAGTGGCATAAGGCAAGCTAATGGGGAGAACATGCATGAGTATTGGGAGCGATTTAAAAGGCTTTGTTCAAGCTGCCCACACCATCAAATTCCAGACAATCTCCTGCTTGTTTACTTCTATGAAGGGCTGCTACCTATGGATAGGAACCTTCTGGATGCAGCTAGTGGAGGAGTCCTAAGCAATAAAACACCTAATGAGGCCAAGGAGCTGATTGCTGAGATAGCTGCTAATGCTCAACAATTTGGCACTAGTGCAAACAGCAGTGCAGTGTTCCAAGTGCAAACTTCTCCAATGCAAAATCCAATAGTGGTAGCAGCAGGAGCATCAAGCACAGATAACCAGAGAATAGAGAACAAGCTTGATGAGTTGACATCAATGGTGAGGCAGTTGGCAGTGACACAGACAGTGCAACCTTCTGCTCAACAGACAAACAACCCGTTTGGCATCTGTTGTGATCCTTCTCATCCCACGGGTGCTTGTCCTTCCTTACATGACAGTGGTTCCCAAGTTGATCAGTCTGTTGCTGCAGTTTTTCCTGGAAATCCACAGCACCAGCACCAGCAGCAAAATAATCCATTCTTCAACATTTACAATCCTGGCTGGAAGAATCATCCTAACCTCAGATGGAACCAGAATCAGCAAAATGTTCCATATCAGAGTCAACAAAATTTACCATTCCAGCAGAGGCAGCAGTTTGTGCCTCCACAACAGAGGCAAAATTTTTGACAATTTGCCCCTCAGCAGCCAATGCAGCAGCAGCCACCAGTGCAGCAGCAAGCTAGTAGCAATGGCCCTTCTTTGGAGGATTTAATGAAACAGATGGCCACTAACAATCTGCAGTTCCAGCAGAGGACTGAGTCTTCCATTCAGAATCTGCAAACACAGAT